CAATTCAGGCCAACCATTTATTTATTATTCTTCCCCCCCTCCCTAATTTCAGGGCTGCCACCTTTTAACCTTTGCTGCAAAACTGCAGATCTGGTCTTGGAGGAATTCATGTTTCTTCCTGTAGTGCCCAGAGGCCTCATAGTGCTGCTGTTGTTGAATTCTTTTTAATTAAAAGAAGGTACACAGAAAAAAAAACAAACCAACCAACCCCAAACCACTTACCAGGGAAATTAAAAAGAAAACAGACAGTTGCTTAGAGCCCCTAAAAATCCATGGGCTAAATTACTTGCTCCTGCTTAATTTGGTCTGTATTTAATCCTTTCACTTTAGCTACCAAATCTTATCAGTAAATGTCACTAATCGGTGCTATCTCTTATCCAGCTAAAAATCCAATTAGGAGCCTGAAATAATTCCTATGTTAACGACCCCAAAGCAGAGAGAGAGGGTGAAAACAACGTTTTGCACGTCCAGATAAAGGTTGCAATCACTGCTGTCCCAGCAGTTGGTTGTGAGGCTTCAATTACTGTCAGAGGGGCTTGTTCTCTGGTGCTGAGCCATGGTGGAGGTCCAGCAGCACCAGGCTGTCCTGGCTGGCTTCAAAAGCCCTTTGCCAGGACTAAAAAAATTAAGCCTTTTTTTTTTTTTCCAGAGGGATAATTTAATTTATGCTTCATGTGTGAACATGAAAATTCCCTTCCTGGCTCTGCTGTGGATTTCCCTGGACAAGTAGCAGCCTTTGCTGCCCGTCACTGTCCTCACCTGTGCCAGGCCACCCCCTGCCTGGTCACTGATGTGAGCGAGAGGCACAGCAGGCACGGGCAGGGACCTGGAGCAAACACCTCTCTGCAGGTGTGGCAGGAAGGTACTCCCAGGAGCTGCTTGCCTTTATTTTTAGCATCCCCAGCATCCTTCCAAGCCTAATTATGAAGAACCTATTATCTTTTTAAAGCCTGGAATGCAGTTTTCCAGCAATCTGAATACCAGAAGGTGTGGCAGCCCCCCAAGTCGTGGTGTTTGAATTTCCAAGGTTTTGCCCTGCTCTGTCTGGTAGACGCTGCTGTGACTCCCGGGACAGGCGCGCGCACCCGCGCCCTTTCTTTTTCTCTTCCAACTCAACCTAACTTCAGTTTTCTGCTTTTCACAACGTAACCCCCTCCGGCTGTTTTCTTTTAGTGCCTTTCCCATAGGAAATTCATCGTTTGCACGCACACACGGGGGAAGGTTGGGTGCCTCCCCCCATCTAGTGGCAATAAAAACAGCATAGCACCGTGGCGAAGACTAGACGTGCCAGCTTCGACATCCACCCAGATTGTGCACTTGTTGGGTACAAAAGTGTCTGTGAGGCCTTTGAAAGTTCCATGGCTTGACGTGTACAAAGCGTTGCGTGTAAACTTGCAGCTCCTTCCGTCACGATCCCTCGTGGTACCAGCAGGCAGCTCTTTGCTTGTGCCCAACACCTCGTGGAGTTGCTTCTCTTTCCTGCGGTCGCGTCTGTGCCCTGGTCTGTGGGATGTCCCGCCCGGCGGCTGCGCGGCCGTTCCCCTTCCCGACGGACCGGTTCTCCCGCACAGCCCTGCGCTGGGGGGACGAGCCCTTTGCTACACTTGGTGCTAAGGGAAGGGGAGGTGAGTGGAGCAGGTGTGTTGATGCAGCTGTAGGTGTCAATCAGGTTGTGATGTGCTTTCCCTTGGGTTTCATCTTCATGCTTTGTGCAGAAATAGGTTAGAATTTATTGGTTGTATCTGGTCGGAGAAAGGTTTGTTTTGTTGGTGGTTTTTTTTGGCAATTTTTAACTTCAGTGTGTTAAAAAACACCGAACTAGCACAAGCCCAACCTCTGTGTATTGGTGTGCAGCCTGTGCCAGTACTTGCCTCTGCTTTAGGTAATGCCTTTGTAAACCTGGTATGTCCAGTTGAAAGTAGGTTGTAGACAGCGATGCTGTGATACCAGCCCAGACTTCCCTTGTGCCCTCAGCACATCAGGGTGTTTTACTTGCATGTAGGTGGGCTCAAAGTAAAGAAGAAAATGCTGTTTTGCAGGAGGTGGTCGTGTCTGCCACCGGGTTCTGGGAGATGTTCTTGTAGGTAGAACTTGCTGAGCAAATGCATCCTGCTGGTAGTGGTGTGGCCATCTTTGGCAGTGCAGATCTGATGGCCAGGCTCTGACACATCTCTGCAGTGATGGGATTTCATTGTTTCAGAACAGAAGCACTTTCAGGGCTATGATATGCATCTCTAAGCCCCTGTCCCATTTGACTCCCCCTCTTTAAGCCAGTGCTCTGTTGGCTTCCGATCACAGGTCATGGAAACCTTCCTGCTGTTATGTGCCACGGAACAATGGGATTTGAGGCAAGCCTGGAAAGGCTTCCATTGTTTCAAAGGAAAACCAATTTTGAACCTGCCACCTGACGATGAGGATGCTGCTCTTCTGCACCCACTGTCCGGCAGGGGAGGCGCTGGGGTCGGGGGATGTCCCAGGGGATGTCCCAGGGCTGGTGCCCCAAGAGCGTC